TCTACCCGTCGGCTCCGAGCAGGAAGTGTCGTCAGGAGGCCATTTTTAAAGCCTCCTTCAGGCGGCGGAGGTAAGCGCTGACGTGTTTTGGTTTTCAGTAGTTAGAGGCGCCCGCCCTCCCCCCGCCAGCCCTCGAGGCCGCCGGGGCGTCCCCGGGGAGACCACGGTGGAAGCCCGTGCACCGCGCCTGGCCGCGCAGCGCCCGCACTCTTGGAGGTGGACTCGCCTCGGGGAATGGGTGCCGTCGGCGTGAGCGTGCCAACAATAAACTCGAAAACCAGACTGGCATTTTCTTTCCTTGGGCATTTTCGGGGCACGTGTCCAGGGCCGGGCTTGCGCATTGAGGACCTGTGCACCTTTTCGCCGGGGACGGCTGGGATAGATGGTGACAGTTTGACTTGTTCCGAAGGCTGATGTCACTCTTTGTGGGACCTCCCAGCCCTCTTGTCTGGTCGCCTTAGGGTCGTGGGGCAGTGTCAGGCCAGGAAAGCCAGGCAGGATGCAAAAGAATGAAAATTTGCTAACCGTAAGGGAAAGCCAAGGCAGAGGAAGAAAACACTTAAGCCCCTCTCATTCGTTGGGTTTGCCATGGATCCCATTAAGATACCCGACTTTAAAAGCTCGAATAATGAACAATTTTTCAATCTCTCATTATAAAATAAAATGCGAAATACTGGGCACTCTGACCTCTTTAAACCTCTACACACCGTGATGTTGTCTTAGAGCCCTAAAAGCTGGCCACTTAGGTTTAGATTTGAAGTCACCCAGAGTAGGACAGACCTTGCCCTCCAGGAGCTGGAAGTGCTCACCTGTAGCAGAGCAGGGAGAGGACCGTGTCTCTCTCTATCTCTTGTCATTCGCACACGTCAGCCCACCCTGTGGTGTGTGTGTCCACAAGAGGAGATACTGGTGGGCGAGGGTCCTGGAAGCCCAGCAAATGGTCGTTTAGAAACCAGTATCTTCTCGTCTCTTTTAAGTAAGATGCACGTAGGAGGAAGATGTTAGGCTTTTTGAATTGTTTGATATCCATGTGACCTTTAACTTAAGATGCACGTTTTAAAAATTATATTTTATCTTGGGTCCAATACAGCCTTGAAAAATAACACTTTTATATCTATCTAGTTTTGCTATGCTAATGATGTTCATTGCAGGTGCATTTTGAAAACAGCAAAGGAGGATACTATTTATTGGGCCTCCTCCCTGATGTGTTATGCCGAACTAATGATGTAGACTTTTTAAAATGCAATAATAGCGGTTAAAAACACTCCTATTTGCTTTTAAGTTAGGGGATCGGGCCAGTTTTTATCAAGAGGAAGAAGAGAGAACGTTTTTATTGTCGCCGTAAAGTCTGACCTTTCTTTCATTGACTCATTCATTCATTCATTCATTCATTCTACCAGTATGTACCGAGCACCTTCTGTGGCCAAGCTCTGCTGTTGACTGCTGAACAAGGCCCTCACCAGTGAGGCTTTCCCAGTCTGGATTATTCTCAAGCTGCCTGGCATAGACTGCATGTTCTTTGTTCACATATACAGACTCAGCCAACTGCAATTTCCAGGATCCGTCCTTGGAGTGAAGGGGGCTAGAGACCATCTAGCGCAGGCATTATGGGGTGCAGAGTGGGGAGGCATCAGAATCTCCTGGGAAGGATTTTAAACCACAGCAGGCAAAGGGCTGTCTGATTCTTTAGGTCTCCAGAGTCCTGTGAAGCCTTTTTTTTTTTCCTCTTCGTTTTAAGCTCCCTATGTGACTTTGCCCCCACGCTCCTGCTTGAGACGCTTTCTGGGGCTCATTCCCTTCTTTTCTAGAGGAAAAGTGCCTGAAGAAACCAAGGCTACACAGGCCCAGGGCTTCCACCCAAGTGTCAGCTCTGTCGCAGGCATCTCGGGCGGTGCTTGCTGCCCCCCGGGGTTCTGAGCCTCCAGGCCTCTGCCGGGGCCTGTAGTTGAGGCCAGTGGGACCCGGCGCCTCAGAAGGAAGAGCCTTGCGACTTGCCATGCTTGTGACTCACATCCACGGCTCCCGGCCGGAAAGAGGGCCCGGCATGGCAGATGCCGTGACTTCCGTTCACAGCCTCGCACAGCGGGTAGCAGAAAGCAAAGAGTTCAGATCGGCCACCAGCCGACCTTAGAAAAGCCCCGCAGCTTCTCCAGATCTAGCCTCTTACAAGAAGCAGGCGATCGAAGGTGCGGCTTGAGGCGTGTCGAGTGATGTGTGGATCTGCCCCTGCAGGCATCCCTTCCGCCTGACTTGGGCTAAGGTGTCCAGGCTTGACAAATGCCGCCAGCCACTGAGCATCCTGGTAGCACTGACCACTTTACTGAAACCACCCATTTTCTTTTCCCATCTCCTGCTACACTCCTTAGAGACAGCAGCCCGTGGCAGGTGGGAGTGGAAGAACCCCTCACACCCTGCCAGGTATTGTGCCTGGAATACCTGAGTTTCTGAGAAACTACGAAGTGGTTACTGTCATCACACACTTCACAGAGAGCATCAGTGATGATGTTTCTAAGGTCATATGGCTAAGCAGGGACCCGGAGTCTACTTGCCTAATCACCTCATTTCAATGCAAGGTGGTGGCCTCGACCTGCCTCCAGGCACCCACAGGTGGGGGAAGCACATAAGAGATTGCAGGGGTCCTTGATGCTCTCGCCACTCCCACGCGCGCCTCTGCACCTGCAGTGTCAGGTGTGGTTCTCAGCCTTGGCTGCACGTTAGAATCGCACACTGGAACTCGGGTATCTTTTTGAAGCTTCCCAGGTAATAATGGTGTGCAGTAGGGCGACCAGCCACCCCAGGGACCTCTTTAAACAATAAGTTTAACATCCTGGGCATATTATGACAAGTTGACACCCTAATGCAACCAAAGTTAAGAATCACTGGTTTTCTGGGAGATATTTCTGCTGTGTTTGATTATACTTTTGATTAAACTCTTCATTTCTTTTACGAAATTCTCATATTTTTCTTAAAGGCAAAGAAGAAACAGAAATACCAACATTTATCGCGTTAGAGACTGACGTCATTAGGTGTGTTTAATAAGAGAATTTTGTAATTTGCTTGTAAGACAACTTGTTTTTTACCTCGTTTTTTTTTTTTTTTTCTTTTAATGCTAACAAGATTATTTTCTCCTTAACATTTTTGCCCCCACATATGGAACTGTAAGTTTTAGGCTTTAAGAATTCTAGCACTGGTCATATTCTTTCTTTGGAAAGGTTTTATCTTTAAAAAAAAAAAAACTACATTAATGACTTCCTTTGTTTCCTGAAGGAGTCTCAGACCATAAGGTGTCACCTGGATCCCAAATAACCCCTTTGTAGACTGGAGGGGGTGGGGAAGTCTCTCCTCGAGCCCAGCTCTCCTGCTGTCTCAGACCTTTATCTCATCAGGCTGCTTGTTAAGCTGAGGATTTCCTGCTTCTCTGGAGATTACTGGACTCTTTTGTCCCAAGACATCTCACAAAAATACGTTGACTTATTTCTTGACAGAACGTGTAACATTTGCCAAGCAGAAGGTTACCCGCTACGTGCACGTATACCTTTTCCTCACATCAGCCATGCGGATTAGGCATCATTCACTCCCATTTTACACAGGAGAAGACTCAGGCTCAGAGAGGTTAACAAGGTTAGCATCACACAGCTATCAAGTCCAGAACCTAGCCTTTGAACCCTGGTCTGGCTGTGCCACGGTCATTGCTCTCCCCGCTGTTACACTTTTCACCTGGGAAGCAGAGGCACCCACAACCAGCGGGCCCCTCGTCCAGCCTTCCTGCCCCATTCCGTGCCCCCAGTGACACACTCGGTTCCAGAAGGAAATGTACGTTTGTCAGCCAGCAACGTCCGGAACTATTGTGTGTCCTCGAGGTGGCCATCGATTTGCAATTCAGTCCTTTCTAAGTGCAGGGTAGTGTGGCAGAAAGCAACCAGTTCTTAGTTGCTGTTTTTCCTTGTGTAGATTTACCTGTAGAAGTGTTCAGTTCACTTCTGATTTGTTGTAATGCTCTGGAAAAAAAATGCTTGCTGAGTGAGGCAAATTCCTTCCTGAATTCCGTCCTACTAGGAAAATATTCACAGTTTACATATCTGATGTTGGATTCCTACCCCCACCCCACCCCCAATCGGGTATTACCCGTCTGTATGCATATGGGCACTTTTGGATAGGGTGGTTTATAATTCGGGTGACTGAGAGACGTGAGTTAGATAGATGAGCTTCGCCAAGGCTGAGTAGACAAAAGGAGCCCGTGTGGGTTTGGGGGTGCCTGTGCCTTGGGGCTGAGCGT